GCATGAGCAACCTGTGTATAAAGACCACCTGCCTATAGTGACCACTTTTAGGTTGTCCTAAAGCATAACGTACGAGCAACCTGTGTATAAAGACCACCTGCCTATAGTGACCACTTTTAGGTTGTCCTAAAGCATAACGTACGAGCAACCTGTGTATAAAGACCACCTGCCTATAGTGACCACTTTTATGCAGTCCCAAGGCATAACGTATGAGCAACCTGTGTATAAAGACCACCTGCCTATAGTGACCACCCTTTCAGCAACATTTCTGCCTCTTGAATAATATTCACCGCTCTATTTTAATTTCCTCAAGTCAAACTTTTACAGGTAATTTGATTTTGATCAATTCAAATGAATGTTTGTTACAACAGTACTATTCCATTATTTTTAGAACCTGTCTGTAAAGACCATTTCAATGAATTCCCTTAGGTGGTCGCTATACACAGGTTTGACTGTCCCTTAGGTGGTCGCTATACACAGGTTTGACTGTACCTTGGGTGGTCACTATACACAGGTTTGACTGTACCTTGGGTGGTCACTTTACACAGGTTTGGGTGTACCTTGGGTGGTCACTATACACAGGTTTGATTGTAGCTTGGGTGGTCACTATACACAGGTTTGACTGTCCCTTAGGTGGTCGCTATACACAGGTTTGACTGTAGTATTTTTCTACTCCTACATTAGCACTACACAGTACAGAGCCAGTCTGCAAAGATTATAATAACTATATAACAAATGTTATTCCAGCTCTAATATGAAATAATATCACAATAAACAATTGTTTTTACAGGGTGGTGTGAAAATAGATATGCTAGATTACAATGGTGATGTTATTTACAATCTCACTAATGGTTTTCTTAATCAAGATGATACCACGTAAGTGCACCAATAAATAAATAAATAAATAAATAAATAAATAAATAAATAAATAAATAAATAAATAAATAAATAAATAAATAAATAAAGTTTAGTATACCAATGTTTCATAAGTTAGGGACTTACTATTAGAAATGTGAGATGGTAAACAAATTATTTATTTATTCATATGTCACTTAGTTTTAATCTTGTTCAGACAAATTTTTATATATACATTTTTTTTAAGATTGAAGATTTTTTTTATTGCCCAGTATGCATCCCTATTGATCATTCCTCAATTCTTTTTGATTACACCAGGAAAAAAACAAATAAAGAAAATATACTGTGTTTAGTCAGTAGTCATAGCAATGTGAGACTGCTATGTAAATAATACATATTATGGAATGTGTTTACTATTCACAGCTGATGGAGTATACTTACAATTTACATATTTAATAACTTTATTTATTTAATATTCAATGTTAAATAATAATTTTGTTGAATTCGATTAAAACTTTTGATTCTGGTGTATTTTTTTTCTTTCAATTCAATTCAATTCCAAATATTTTTTTTGATAGGGACTAAAATATTTCTTAAAGGGTAGCAGTCGTCGCGACGCGTCCTGTTTGATATGGGACTCATAGCGACGTATACAACGTGTGTAAAATACATTGTTTATTTACATGATGACCACCGCGCTTTAATTATGTTCAATATTTTGCAA